GTCCATCCTGCCAGCATTTCACGCCCACAAGTCGCTTCTTATTAATCCCTCTTATACCCCGCTATGCTAACGTCCGTTTTCCGACATTTTCCGACATACCGGTAGGTTTTGAATTTTTTTTTCTTTTTTTTGTTTATATTTTTCTTTTGATTTCTCTCATTGGTTTTATTTCGTTGTTCAGCTATTTCTTTTTATTCGACTTCTTTCTTTTTTCTTTCTTTGTCTGTTCCTTTCTTTCTTCATCCTTTTCTTTCTCCCTTTTCGTCTCTTGTCTATTTTCTCTTTCTATTTTCCCCTTTCTTCCATTTCACTGAAGCATACGTTAAGTGCCTGATAACGTTAACTCTTCCTTAATTTCCAGTTTCTTTATTTATTTACTCGTTCCTTTCTTTCTTCCTTTACTTCTTTTCTCTATTTCCCTTTTTATTTTCCTCTTTCTTCCATTTCAATGAAGTAGATGTTATGTGCCTGAGAGCGTTAACGCTAACTCTGTATTCCCTTTCTTTTTTTCTTTCTTTCTTTCTTTCTTTATTTATTTATTTATTTATTTATTTATTTATTTATTCCTTTTCTTCTTTTCTCTATTTTCCCTTTCTTCTATTTCACTGACGGAAACATTAGCCTGGTAACGCTAACACTTCCTCTATTGCCACTCTTTTCTTTCTTTCATTCTTTCTTTCTTTCTTTCTTTATTTATTTATTTATTTATTTATTCCTTTCTTTCTTTCTTGATTCCTTCCTTTTCTTCGTTTCTTCATTTCCATTTCTTTCTATTTTCCTCTCTCTTCCATTTCACTGAAGCAGACGTTATGCCCCATAATAGCGTTAACGCGTCTTCTGTTTTCCCTTTCTTTCTTTCTTTCTTTCTTTCTTTCTTTCTTTCTTTCTTTCTTGAGCCCTTTCTTACTTTAATTCTTTCTTTCTTTATTCCTTTCTTTCTTTTTTCCTTTCTTTCTTTCTTCCTTTTCTTCGTTTCTTTATTTCCATTTCTTTCTATTTTCCTCTCTCTTTGTTATGCGCTTAATAGCGCTCATGCGTCCTCTATTTCCCTTCTCCTTCTTTCTTTCGTTCTTTCTTTCTTTCTTTCTTTCTTTCTTTCTTTCTTTCTTTCTCCACTTCTTTATTGAATCTCATCAGCAACTCATATTTTAGATCTTTGTTTCATGACTATTTTTCTTTCAACTGCCAGTTCATTTCCTTTCTATTTTTATTTTCCTTCATCGAAATATACTCCGAAGGACATTACTTTTATATCTTCTTTATTCTTTTGGCCCGGATTTCTCTTAATTTTTCCCCCCAGTTTTCATTTAACTTTTTACAAATATATTTTTCTATTTGACTCAAATTTTTCCACTTAATTGACGGAATAGAAAACTTCTCTAAAATCATTTCAGCTTTCATTATTTTGTAAAATTAATTCATCTTACGAAAAAAAAAAAATTCTTCAAAGTTTACCCCATGATCAGTTTGGCTTCGTTTATCCTTCTCCTTCCGAGTTTTGGTCGACATTACAATGTCGGGAAAAATGTCTTCACACACCGGAAGTATTCCTGCAAGAATTTTCCGTGTTTTTTAAAGCTTGTTTTGTAATGTTTCCGGTTCCTTTCTGATTATTGGGCAGAAGTCAAATGAAGGTTAATTAGCATTTCGGTATATATTAAAAAAAAAAAAATTAAAATAGCATTTTCAATTAAAAAAAAATAAATAACGATTCTTATAAATGCAAATAAACCTTCTTTTGTCTGTTTAACAAAGAAGCCCCACATACGATGGCTGGTATATAAAAGAGTATAGTGGCTTGGGGTATATTTTTTTAAAGCTCTTGATATAATTTTATATCCTGTTAATAAAAACAGAACAAAAATCAAGTGAATGAATTTGCTAGTTAATCGATTTCGTTATCGAAATTATTAAAAACAATTGTTTTTTTTATAAACACGTATAGACGCACACACGCTCAATGCATATATATATATATATATATATATATATATATATATATATATATATAAATTTCCATTGTATATATATAAGTGTCTGTGTGAGTGTGTGTGTGTATATATATATATATATATAATTTCCATTGTATATATATATATAAAATGAAATATATATATATATATATATATATATATATAAATATATATATATATAATTTCCATTGTATATATATAAGTGTGTGTGTGTGTATATATATATATATATATAATTTCCATTGTATATATATATATATAAGAATATATATATATATATATATATATATATATATATATATATATATATATATATATATATAATTTTCCATGATATATATATACAATGGAATTATATATATATATATATATATATATATATATATATATATATAATTCCATATATATATATATAAGTGAAATTATATAATGGAAAATTATATATATATATATATATATATATATATATATATATATATATATATATATATTTTTTCTGGGCAATGAGACCCGGGTGCGAGTCGGGTTCTGTGGGTTTTCAACGAACACAGATGTGCCTGAGCGAGCGTCAGCAATAGGTATTGGCTAGCCGCCGTAATAGACGTTTATCCTTGAATAAGTGTGGCTAGGTATGTGCATTAACAAAATAAATCACAACTATCTATTATATTAGTTTTTGTCTTAGAAATTCACCCCTGAAGATGACCTTGGATGAGATTGAAAGTACTTGGGAAAATAAAGGGAATACGAGAAATAACTATGGCGCCTTCTTTAATGAGTTTAATGAGAACATTAAGAATTTGAAAGGGTTAAAAAGTATGAAATAGACATGATATGTCCACATTATTTAACAAAATCTTGAATATATATATATATATATATATATATATATATATAAATTATAGGATTGGTGTACGGAATAAATTCCAATAACCAAAAAAAATACTATTCTTAAAAAGAGTGCTCAATACAGAGTAGAGCAAATATAATTTTTTCGAAAAGTATAACATAAATGTGTTATAAAATCACTACAAATACAGCCATTTTGTTTCAATACTTCAGGTGTCTTTTCAATTGATTGGTTGAATGTAGAATACGTATATATATATATATATATATATATATATATATATATATATAGATAGATAGATAGATAGATAGATAGATAGATAGATAGATAGATGAATAACTATAATGTATGCATCTATATGTATTTGCGCGTAAAATGCATCTTTTGAATTCACTGACGCTAATAAGGATATTGTGAAAATTAGATGGAAGAGATATATATTTCTACAGAAGGATAATGAGAATTCATTGAACCAAGCGAATAAGCAACAAGGAAGTCTTAAGGAAAATGGTAGCAAAAAGAAAGAACACTTCTACACAGAATCAGAAAAATACAGTTGAAATTCCCGGAACGCATAATGATGTAGGATGGCTTGGAAATTTTAAAACTTACACGACATACTGGATGCAAGAGACATAGGGAAAGTCAGCGAACCACCTACATGATGATCTTGTGTGAATGAACATGAGGCGGAAAATTTGCAAAAGGAAGTAAACACTGGAAGCTTTGGAGAAACATCATCGTTGATATGGTCCTACAGAAAGATGATGAGGACCGAATATGTGAGCAGCGACGAGATTTTAAGAAAAATCGAAACAAAAAATGAAACTTTTATTTAACGTCAGGAAGAGACAGTTGATGCTTCTAGGGTTTGTAATGTTGCAAAGAGATCTTGGAATATTCTGAAACACATAGGACAGTTTGAAGGCCAGAAGAACAGAGGAAAACAACGCATTACATACGTAATGAGCTTATGTAAGAACAATTTACAAAAAGGGAAAGTTATTAAGCGTTACAGTGTCATCATTTGATACAGCGACGAAAGTGGTCAGCAATACAGTTCGTTTGCAGGATCTGAACGAACCAGTCGTTTTTTTATTTTTGTTTTTTTTTATTCAAACTAAATCTGTCTCAACACCACCCACCCCCATTAACAGCTTATAAGTAAATGGTATCATTTCCCATCGGGAATCTACCGGGTGTAACTAGCTGAGTCTAGCTGGAATTTTTCCAGCTGTGCTGGTCGAACTCTCTGCCTTTGAGTAGAGTGGAACTCGGACGAGGCAATGCCGAAGGGCAGAGTCTCGTCCGGGGAGGTAGACAGACCCGATCCCGTTTAAGCAGGTTCTATGGGGATTTTTTTAAACGAGCCTACGGACACGGGAAACACCACACTTGTGCCACATGTGACTGTGTGGGTCAGTTGCTAGATAGCGTCTAGCGGGTGTAACAATACAATTGTCCAAATCGCGTAACAGCATTGGGTAATTGCTAAATTTTTAATATCTAAAAAAAAAATACTTAACTGAGTTTCATTTTTCCAGGTTTTCAGGTAACCATCTTCACATGATTTGTCGTAAGAATCACTGAAAACACTTTGAGTTATTCAGCTAGAAAGATAACAGGTAAAAATTAGTTTGTCTCAGCCACACTCTATCTCCCCAACTGGGCAATGGTGAGAAGAAAAAGATCATTCAGGCCTTCAGTAATGGCATCAACATTTATACTCTGGCTTCTATCTTCAAAGTTTTAAGAACAATCCAGAGAATGGTGAATAAGTTTAAAAAAGAGGGAACAGTTGCGAGGAAAACTGGATCATCAGGTCACAGCAGCAAGAAGGATCATTGTTCCATCTTAGAGCTAATTATTATTGTTCAAAGTAGATTTCAGTAGTGTTATAAAAAAAAAGTCGGAGAATTCCAGTAAGATATCTTTAATCATTTCTAAGATACAACAGTTCAAAATCTAACAATTGGGTAATTTTTCTGTTACACGATTTGGACAATTTTGCTGCTAAACTAGGGTATGTTCCCCAGGTATAGAAAGAATTTCCGAAAAACCCAAGACTAGCGGTTTCAAGTTCGCAGAATTTCTCCTCGCTTGGGACAAAGTAGATGAATCCGGTCAGCTTGAATCTGGAGTTCTAAACATGGATGACGGTGAGCAAGGCGGAAGCGTTACAAAAAGGAAGAAAAAACGTCTAGGATTGGCGAGCCATGATCGTCTCCGAATATGGAAGAAGAAGAAGAAGAAGAAGAAGAAGACGGAGGATGAGGAGGAGGAGGAGAACACAGAGGAGGAGGAGAATGGAAGATTAAGAAGAAGAAGAAAAAAAAGAAGAAAGAGGAGGAGGAGGGAAGAAGAAGAAGAGGGAGGAGAAGAACACGGAGGAGGAGGTGGCAGATTAGAAGAAGAAAAAGGAGGAGAAGGAGTAGAATAGAAGAAGAAGGAAGAGGAGGAGAAGAACACTGAGGAAGAGGGAGAGTAGAAGAAGTAGAAGGAGGAGGCGGCGTAGAATAGAACAAGAAGAAGAAGTAGGAGGAGGAGGAGAACACGGGAGGTGGAGGAGGGGCAGAGAGAAGAAGAAGAAGAAGAAGAAGAAGAAGAAGAAGAAGAAGAAGAAAGAGGAGGAGGAGAGGAGCACGGAGGAGGAGGAGGCAGAATAGAAGATTAAGAAGAAGAAGGATGAGAGAAGAAGAAGAAGAAGAAGAGGGAGCAGAAGAACACGGAGGAGGAGGAGGAAGAAGAGGAGAAGGAGGAGGAGGAGGAGGTGGCAGATTAGAAGAAGAAAAAGGAGGAGAAGGAGCAGAATAGAAGAAGAAGAAGATGAAGGAAGAGGAGGAGAAGAATACTGACGAGGAGGGAGAATAGAACAAGAAGAACAAGGAGGAGGAGAACACGGGGGAGGTGGAGGAGGCAGAGAAGAAGAAGCACGAAGGGGGAGAAGAACACAGAGGAAGAGGAGGCAGAGTAGAAGAAGAAGAATGGCATTTTCCGACACTTAATTCTTTGTTTAGTTAGTAGAAGTCACCTTATTCGGGCTTTCTTTTATCCAGGTTGCATTTATTAGTGTTTTTCTATTTTTTATTTATGTTTTTCATTTATTAATCACATATTCTTTCTATGATGTTGTTCGTACTCTAGGATAGAACCCCATCACCGCTGCTTTAAGTCATTTCAGTTCAACAGGTAACACCGAATAAAAGATTAGATATGACAGTCTTTCACATGTTTTTTTTTTTGGTTGTCTCTAATGACAAACAAACAAGAACATATGTGTGGGTGGTGCAATGGATAACGCCTCGAAATAAAAATCGGAGGGCGGAGTTCGAATTCCAGTTGAGTTCGTTACATTCACTTACGCACACATGTCTCCCTCTCAAGCTATGAGTTAAACAGGAGAGCATTCTTAGCTCGCTAGTCGTGGTCGGCAACCAGTCAAGGAGAAGGGAAAATCTAAAGTGAAAATTATGAGAGTCCCTGTGTCGAAATCACTGGTTACTCTTTGAAAAGGCGCTGTACTGTAGTTCGTGTCCTAAGAATTATCGTTCATTTCCAACCTTCGTTTGATTATTCTATTCAGTAACCTTCTCTTGCTTACAACAGAGATTCTGATATTCAAACACATGGCGCAATCTAAACTAGAAAACCTTATCAACACTAGAAGAATTCCATATAATAGAATTCTCTATTCCAATAAGTCTTCGAGAAGGATAAAAGCTCAAATGATATTGAAACATGAAAGTGACAGACGGGCCTACCAGTGAGGCAATAGGTAAAATGTTTGTAGGGCCAAGAAACAGACGACAACATATTTACCATTGCATAGCTCGTTCTGCGTATAACAACAAACTACGTCCAACAGCAAGGACTCTGGTTTTGATTAATTAATTTAATTACTGTTTTTCCCAGGTCCAACCTGACCTGGAGTGGTAGAACTTGTTGGGGTCCTAGCTATGGGCAGATAGTAAACACCCAAATGGTAGTTAAAACATGAAAATATAAAAATACACTAGAAAAATCTACCCGCTATACATTTTCATAGTAATAAACACTTACCAGCAATACATTTTTTTAAGGGAGCGAGGTTTGAACAAAAAAACAACGCTCACAAGAAAATTAAATTCCGGTATTACACCCATGTGTAAATTAATTATAAGAGAAGATGTGGAGGGCCATGATCACCTACACCCTTGTATAAATGAATTGAAACGAAACGAATAATTCCGGTATTATTTACTTTTTTCGTATCTTCCCTATGAAACATGACCCAGTAAACATGTTAGTACTTCGGATGTCCATTCCACGAAGTCGTTCCTTGCAGATTGACCACAAATTCTTGATTGGATTTTAATCAGGACAGTTTCCGGGACAGTCTATGGTACTATGATTTTCTCACTGGTAAGGCTCGCCATTGTGTTCTTCAAGTGTTACAATTTTCGTACGCTGCCTTGGAGTAACTTCCATCGCAGACAATGGCCATAGGAAAACTAATCGATAGTCCAGACAATAGTGTCTGGACGGGATGAAAATCTGATCCAATCACGGATGACGCAATATTTTTCAAGGTCAAAAAAATGTCATCATACACTCTAAAAATAGATTCATATTACGGCACACCAGTGCAAATGACCTAATTTGAGGAATAAATAGAAATCGATTGCGCCCTCTCACTCCGGTGGGTCTAAAACTGGCGAAAGAATGGAAACTAAAGCGGTTGTTTCAATTAATTTGCACAAGGACGTAAAAAACGCATAAGGAGTTGATATGCCGCTGAACAAACCAGGCAAAACAAACTGCATTGTTGAGAATGCTGAGGAGAGCTAGGGCGTAGAAAGGAGCCATCTAGTCAGTGGGTCCTCATCGATAGACTCCAGACAACAGTTATCAATGCGATTTAATTCGAATGATAACGAAAAAGAATAAATTTAGTGATACAGGCGAAATGTACGAACAATATAGATACTGAGCAAGATGTTTTCTTTAACAATTATGTTTACCCTGTACAAGGCGCAACGTCCAATGCAGGTAGAGAGTTCCTGGGTAAGAGATAAAACACCAAGCAATGTGACAATGCTACCGGGACGAAAGGAGACACCGGAAGTGAAAGAGAAAGAAAACAATTTTTAGCGGGAACCGGAAACCCAATCCTAAACAGAATACCACAGATAAACATAAAATCTTGTTCAAACGACGGGGGAGGCAAGTGAACCGGACTATAAGTGAAGAGGAAAGACAAAAAAGTAAATAGTAAAAAAAACGTACAGAGTTTTAGGCAGAGACGTTAGGAGTATAGAGTTCAAGTAGAATTAGCAGGAACCGGGAACCAAATTCTAAACAGGAAACAACGAATAAACACCTGTTCAAAAGAATAGGGAGGAGTGTGAACAGGACGATATACAAACCTATCTACTCCTATTGAAATAAAAAAATGAATAGTAAATAAAATTTCCGAGTTTAAGAGGAGACGTTAAAAGTATAGACTTGAAATCGTCTTTCGATATAGGTTTTTGTTAAATTCAAGGCTTTCTTTTAAACAATAATGTGTTGTTATTCAATATTCAGAGAACAAGCAAAGTTTGAATAATATAGATACTTAGTAAAGTTCTAGAGAGTTTTAAAAGACATTTTGGTACAGATTATTCAGCGATAACCAACATATATAAAATGAGATGCAAATGTATATAAAATAAAGATACTAGACTGTGTATTCTTACTCTGTCTTCAGCGATAACAAAGAGGTTATTAATGAAAACAGACATATGTAATATAAATACTGAGTAAGGTGCTGTGGATTTTAGAAGACGTTTTCTTACTCTGTCTTCAGCGATAACAAATATTATTAACGAGAACAGACAAATGTATATCTATATCTATAAAAGGCAGGATGTGTGTGTGTGTGTGTGTGTGTGTGTGTGTGTGTGTGTATGTAACGAATGCACAGCCGCAATTTTCGACAGTTTTGCAAAATTTACATGCACATGGTCCAAGTTGGCAGGAAGGCCAAGACCGAACTTTGCATTTCCCAACTCCCATCGATAGTGGAAATAATCGATTTTTTTGATTCTACAGCAATTTTTCATGTAGTTTGCGGCCATTTTGTACTGGCCAGGTGAGAGCCTATAGCTGGCTGCCACGAATAGGCAGGAAGATTCTATAAGCCAGCGTGAGAGCCAACAGCTGACTGACACGAATGTTAACTAGCATGCTAGCATGCAAAAAAAATAGATAGCTGCATTCGTCTGAAAATTGGGAAAAATTTAAATCTGCATGGCACTTTACTCCAATTGGCTCATTCGCTTGCTTAAACTCAACGTTGATTCTGATTCCGCAGAATTGGGTTGGGTGTGAAAAAAGTATTTGTTGTTAACATTCTTTTTTCATTCGGTTTTTCCAGTTACGAGTCCTTTTTTAAAGCTGATCGTTTTGTGTTCATTTTGTTTAGTTCTTTTTTCGTAATACATACGTTCATATATATATATATATATATATATATATATATATTATAATATGGTTATTTTCGCTACACAGTTCCAACTATGTTTCAAAAATAGAAGCTAAAAACCCCTAATTTTATTTTTGCAAATAAATTAAAAGCATTAGTTCTATTTCATCTTCAAGCGAATTTTGGAGTAACTTTTAAAATTTACCGGGTTTAAATACACAGCTAAAATCACGTTTCCATGGTTACAGAATATTCTACTCAAATTGAACACAGGGTGTCTAGATTTTCCTTATGACAGTATCATTGTATCAGTTATTAGCTACATTTTGGTAAGGGGGGAGGATGTATTTTTACACTGAAACCTGACGTCAGTTGAATGGATGTCGTCTGAATTTAAAAAAAAAAAAAAAAAAAAAAATTTTAACGGTAAAATATTTTAAGAACACCATCTTTTAAAATTAAAGATTTTTTTACAATACTTTTATTTAACTACGATTTGAAATATTTTCCTTTTTAATTTTATTTTACTATATTCTTTTTTAAGAACAGTTAAATGTATTAGAATCCATTATATTATGTAGGATTATTTTAACATTAAGTTTAAGTATGTATATTTAGGTTACATTTTTTTTTTTTTTTTTTTTTTTGACTATGACAAGCAGAAATGGTTACTTAATTTCACTGATTCAGTAAACTTTTCTTTTTTATATATAAACCTATTATTATAATATTTCACATGTAAGTACTGAGGACATGGGTCATTCAAAAATGCTTACATGTTTATGGTATTCATCTTAATTTTATTTTACTATAGGTGTTATTTTTGGATTCTTTTTTTTAATGCGTGTAGTATTATTTAAAAAGAAATTTGGGTTAGAATTCATTCAATTTAATACGTCAATTTTAATTACAAATTCAAAATTACAACTTTAAAATTTTAAAATATTTTTCGTTGTTTAGTTTTAATAGACTATATTGCTTTATAACAGAAGAGAAAATTACTCATATTAAGTAAGATTATTTTTCCATATCAAAGTATATATAAATTTTTTTTTTTTTTTTTTTTTTCTCTTTAAATTTAAATATTATTTAAGTAATATTATGGCACTTACTACAAAACTAGCTAAGTCATTTCTCAGATTTAGTAAACTTTATTTATTTATTAATTAATTAATTTATTTATTTCAAATATATGTAACCTAATTAATAAAGTTTCATATATGTATGTATAAATAACATGTTAGAATTCATTTTATTTTACTACAATTTTAATTTCAATTTTAAAATTTTAAAATTATAACTTTAAAATTTTAAAATATTTTCATTGTTAGTTTTAATTTAGACTATATTACTTTATAACAGAAGGATAATTACTCATAGTAAGTAAAAAATTTTTTTCCTATCAA